TCATTCCTTTGTTGTTCGGTACTTGTTTTCGTCTGTGCAAGTGGGAGCGGCGTCCGAAGGGCTTTCATGTGTGATGTGTCCCTGCCAGGTCAGCGGATAACGCCCGAGATTTGGGTGAAAATCTTCCATTTTGTCCACTTATTTACTTTATCGTCATTCCCCGAGGGCGAGTTACACAGTGTGTGATGCGTGTCGTGCGTGCGAGACACTGCAGTCGTGACGAGGTCGAGTTATTATCTTTTAAACCTTTTTTTATCGTTTTTGTTTTTGCGGGCGGTCGTCTGCTGGATGTTAATGATTCCTGATGATTATTTACACCGCCGACGGTTGGGAGTCAATGTTTNAGCGAGAGAGGACGAAGACGAGAGAAAGAGGAGAGAGAGAGAGAGAGAGAGAGATGAAGGAGAGAGAGAGAGAGAGAGAAGAGAGAGAGAGAGAGAGAGAGTAGAGGAGATGAGAGAGAGAGAGAGGAGAGAGAGAGAGAGAGGGAGGGAGAGAGGAAGAGAGAGAGAGAGAGAAAGAGGAGGGAGAGAGAGAGTATGAGAAGCAATGAATGAGAGGAGATAGAAAGAGAGGGAGAGAAGAGAGAGAGAAATACAACCATGATTATTATCTAACCAACGTTCCTCATCATTTTTTCCCCTCTCCCCTTCTCTCCTTTCACTCTACCCTCTTCTTCAATGCTTTCTTCTTCCACTCTTCTTCTTAACACTCCTTTCCCTGTCTCCTCTCCTCTCACCTTTATCCATATCCTCTTCTCTCTCCCTCACTTCCTCCTCCTCTCCCCATTCCCCCTTCTCACCGTCTACGCCTTCCCCCCCTTTTTCAACTTCCCTTCTTTCCCTCTTCCTCTCTTCCCTCTTCGATTCTCATTTACCTCTCTTTCCCTCTCTCCTTCTCTCCTTTCCTTTCCTCATCCTCCTCTCTTCTCCCATCTTTCCATCTCCCATTTCCCTCTCTTTCTACTATCCTTCCCCCTCTCTCTCTCCTTCTCTTCTCTTCTACCCCTATTTCCATCTCTCCTTCTCCCTTTTCTCCCTCTTTCCTCTTCCTCACTACCCTTCTCATCTCTTTCCCTCTTCCTCTCCTTCCACCCCCTCTACTTCTCTTCCCTCTCATCCTCTCCTCTTCCTCTCCTTCCACCCCCTCTACCCTCTCTCTCCCTCTCATCCTCTCCCTCTTCTCCTCCTTCCCCCTCTTCCCTCCTCTCTCCCTCTCTTCCTTCCCTCTCCTCTACCCTCTCTCTCCTTCTCTCTCTTCTCCTCCTTCCCCTCTTCCCTCCTCTCTCCCTCTCTTCCTTCCCTCTCCTCTACCCTCTCTCTCCTTCTCCCTCTACCCCTTCTCCCCTCTCTCCTTCTATCTCCTCTCCTTCTTCCCCTCTCTCCTCTCCTCTACCCTCTCTCTCCTTCTCCCTCTACCCCTCCTCCCCCACTCTCCTCCTATCTCCCTCCACTTCCCTCCTCTCTCTCCTCTCATCCTCTACCCTCTCTCCTCCTCTCTCCCTCCCCTTCCCTTCCTCTACCCACTCTCTCTCTCTCCTCTACCCTATTCTCTCCTTCCCCCTCTCCATCTACTCTTCTCCCTCTCTCTCCCCTTTCTCCCCTCTCTCCTTCTCCCTCTAGCCCCTCTCTCTCCCCTCTCTCCCCCTCTCCTCCCCTCCCATCTGTTTCGGTCGCTGCCTTGCATGACAGCGCACGAGGCTGTCTCCACCACGCACGTGCCTGATCAGCATGCTCTTTCATTTCGCCTTGGCAGCCACGTCTCCGCACAGCTTACCGTTTTTATTGCTTACGGAGAGGGGGGTGGGGGAAGGGGAAGGGATTGGGAAGGGGAAGGGGCTTGGGGAGAGGGGTGAGGGAGATAAATGGAGGGAGAGGGGGTTGGGGAAGGGAAGGTTGGGAAGGGGAAGGGGTGAGGAAGAGGGTAAATGGAGGGAGAGGGGGTTGGGGGGGGAAGGGGATTGGGAAAGGGGAAGGGTAGAGGAGAGGATAAATGGAGGGAAGGGGGTTGGGGAAGGGAAGGGTTGGGGAGGAGGATAGGCGAGGGAGGGATAGATGGAGGAAAGGGAAGGGGAAGGGAAGGGGTGAAGGAAGAGGATAAATGGAGGGAGAGGGGGGGGAAGGGGAAGGGGTTGGAGAAGGGGAAGGGGCGAGAAGAATAAATGGAGGGGAAAGGGGGTTGGGGGAAGGGGAAGGGGCGATGAAGATGTAAATGGGAGGAAGGGGAAAGGGTGAGGATAATATGGGGGGAAAGGGGGTAGGGAAGAAGGGAGTGAGGATAAATGAGGGAAAGGGGGTGGGAATGGGAAAGGCGTAGGAATGGAGGGAAAGGGGGGGGAAGGGGAGGGTGAGTGATAAATGGAGGGAAAGGGGTTGGGGAAGGGTGAGGATAAATAGGGGGGAGAAGGGGGTTGGGAAGGGGGAAGGGGGAAGGAAGGAGGATAAATGGAGGGAAAAGGGGTTGGGGAAGGGGAAGGGGTGAGGATAAAGGAGGAAAGGGG